ACCTTTTACATTCTGAGGCAATTCGCTCCATAGAGTAGGGGCTGCGGATGCCGAGAGAGCTCTGTAGTAGCCATACGTTCTTAAAAAATGGGACATATCAACGATACGATTACTATCCAATAGAGGATCTCAGGTTCCTACTCGGTGGGTACTACTTAACTAATTCGGAGAGTTAAGTTGGAACAAAAAGTTATTCAGCGCCTTACTGTGTCTGTGTCTACTAGAAAAAGGTATTTTTAGCACGACCTTAGAAAAAATCTAGAGCAATTAGCGACCGTTTTAAAGCCACCAAGTACAATGCCAAACTGTAGTAACTAGCAAGGGTTATATTTTGTGGTTGAATAGGATGAAGAGGCTAAGAGGTAAACGAAAATATCGAATTGGATAATAAGATGCGCTTTGAAAAGGCAAATGTTGTCATAGAATCGGATGACAGTATTCACGAGGCAGATGAAGTCATCTAATCGGATACTAGGGCTCAAAAGAGGCAATTCAAGTCGTGGAATCGGATGATGAGGTTCAAGACACAAATGAAGAGGTTCGAATGGGACAATGATTCTCAAGATGAGAGAGATGAGGGGGTTGAATCGGATGTAGTCTACAGCTGATAAAGGGAGCCTATTCCTGAGGAGGCGATCAAGCTATTACAGTGATTCAGTTATCAAGAGTTATTTTTCCTAATTCATAACTGACGTGCTATGTTCAACGTTGAATAATAGCGTTTGGTATTAGCACGTTATAAAGGGTAACAAGAGCCATAATGGGTAAATATAAAAGTGTTCGCACAAAACGTTATTCGCCATAATAACAGACTTGCTTTTTGACCTTTTTCCTAAACAAAGTGGTGTTGGAACAAATTGAGACTGCAAACACTATTATCTCCCCAGTTTTGGTCTCGAATTACAAATGATTCTCCCTAATGTTTTCCTAAAAATCCAGTACACCCCCCACCCCCCTTCATGTCATAAATAATGACTGGTCCCTTACTTTAGTCAGGAGCATTCTGTACTTTCTTGTTGGAAAAAAAAAAGTTGACTTGACTCCTACCGTTTTTATATTGCGCCTTACTCAGTTAAATATACTAAGATTAAATACGTATAAAATGTCTAAAAGTAATGTATCATTCGGCAAAATTCACTATTGTTTATTCAGTGTAGATATCACTTAGCGTTTCTCAGGGGATCTGTATCGCTATCAGACATTTCCTTATTATTATTTTTTTTAACTGTAATGAGGTCGCTGTGATTTCTTTTATAATAAATTTTTTAAACATCCCTTGCCTGTCCTTTTTTTTTTTAGGTTTTAAGGTCGGATAAAGACGAACCTTTCGGACTTATTACTCCATTGACATTATGTTTTTTACGTGATAGCTTGAAGTGACTGCGTTTCCTTCAACAATATCTGAAATCTTGTTTATTCACAAAAATATCTATTTTAAGACATGAATTAACCAGTGTTAGGAATACCTTTTTCTGTGTGTGTAATATGTAATCATTCTATTTTTTTTCTTCAATAATTTTCTATTTGTATTTATTTTTGTAATCTTTTTAATTTTGCTTTTTATTTTGTTTTGCTTTGTTTTCCTCAGTATGTACTGTGTACTAGTGTATTTAGCTTTCTACTGACGTTAACTAGTGTATTGTATCGATTATGTAATCTTATGTACCGTTTTTGGAATTACTAATAAAGTTAATTAATGATAAAAAGTATATATACGTATTATGTTTTTAACAGGTGATATTTGAAGGCGTAGTTGGAAGCAGTCATCTTGACGCTGGTGACATAGCAATTGACGACTTCTCCTTGACAGCAGACACAGAAGCGTCTTGTGACGGTAAGAATTTTGACTGAAGGAGCACTGGGACGTTATTCGAAAAAATGAAAACGTCGCAACAAACAGAAATTTGCAAGGGTATGATGGAAGAAAAAAAGTTGAAGAAATGATGGAGTTTTGTCAAGAACAACACTTATGCTTGCATGGAATTTGTTTGCAGTTAATTTTAACAGTTATATATTCTACGAGAACGCACGGTAATTCAAGCAAGAGACCAAACTTTCTAATCATTTATCGGCGATACGAAACACCTTTAGGTGAAACCGTAGTTGACCTCATAAACGCACGGGGAGTTTATTTAATTTTAGGGGTCCAAAAAGGGGCGTTTAAAAGATAGGAAGCGTTTAAAAGAGAGAGAGCCGTTTATTCTCAAAAGTGCAATAATAAGTTCGAAAAAATAATATACTTTCGGCAAAAATATCAAGAGAGTTTTAGAATACCGGAATATCCACTTCATCAATTAATACGTCTAGGCCGTGTATAGAGACACATATCACTCTTTCAATTCAGAATCCTCGCTCAGGGTTATTGTGTTGCCATCGTTATAAGTCTATCCTTACTTTCAACTTGATATTGAACAAGATGAAGTACGCAAAGCATTGTTAATCAAGCAAGAAACTGAATGAATTGGATGATTTTTTTCCTTTTTGCTAATTCCTAGTATTTTGGAGTAATTCTTATAGGGGGCGTCTATTATTTTAGACAGGGGGCGTTTACTAGACAGGGGCGTCTAATACAACTTTAACGGCGTAGAGGGGGCGTTTATTCCTCGCGAGGCGTGTGCTAACTTTTTATATTATTTTTTACGCACAATGTAATGTCTAGCTTGTTTTAAATAATTATTTTCCTTTCTCTCTTTCTTTCATTTAGCCGAATTACCTAAAACATGCAGTGAAATAAAATACAACAACAGAAAAGCCACAAGTGGCAATTATGTTATCGATCCCGATGGAGTTGGGGGCTACAAGTCTTTTGCTGTTCACTGCGACATGACAGACAAGAATGAAGTTGGCGTAACAGTTGTCGGTCACGACAGTGAAGGCAGAACTCTAGTTAACGGCTATGAAGGAAAAGGAAGCTACGTACGTGATGTCCATTACGAAGGGTCAGGGCTAACTAGCAACCCACAATTGTTTGGCCTTCTGAATGTCGCTGCACATTGTGAGCAATTTATCAAGTATGAATGCTATCACGCACTTCTTCTGGATAATGGTAAACCATATAGCTGGTGGGTATCGCGTGACTCCAAGAAAATGACCTACTGGGGTGGAGCCAGCCCAGCTGACTCCTACAAGTGCGCATGCGGGGTGACCAATACATGTGCAGACATCAGAAGTGGATGCAACTGTGATAAAAATGATAAAGCCTGGCGTGAGGACAGCGGTCTTCTAACTCAAAAGAGTGACCTGCCAGTTTTACAGTTAAGATTTGGAGATACAGGAACTGATTTTGAGAGAGGTTATCATACCCTTGGGAAACTCAAGTGTTACGGAATAGCTTCTGTGCATTGAAAGTTAATACCAAAAAAAACACGAGTAAACGTGTTTGTTCTCAGTTGACTTGCACCCAGTGTGGGCGGGTTTGAGATCAGTCTCATCTCCAGAGATTTCCTAATCCTGAAGACAAGGTTGAGATCTGTTCTCATGCAGGGCTTCAGGAGCTTACACAAGGCTGATGACTTTTTAGAGGATTTTTAATTTAAAAAATTACCTTAATGTTAACGCAGCAAGAGATCGAAAGAGGTTGTTCCATATGTTTCATTTTCAATTATATATATTCTTCTTTGCATAGCAGGCTTTAGCTAATTTTAAAACAAAATGTAAGTAGTTTTCCATCTATGAACGTAGAGACTGCAGTTGCCTGAGAATTGGTTTTGACTGTTATTATTGCATTGCAATTGTAAACGCATTAGCTGAAGCGTGTTATTAATTTTAATGATAGCGATATTTATAAGTAATGGTATCAGAACTAAGTGGAGTACAATTCAGGGACCATCGGGCGAGTAATTTAAGGCCGATTTGAAATTACGAGCACGATTGAACCCTGCATTTTACGACAAGAATTCTTATTGCCAAAGAGCAGCAGTGAGCGAAAGTTCCAAAGCAGTTGATCTCGAAGCGAAGTAACATAAGGTAGTGTAAGGTAACTTACTTAATTACTTACGTAATGCAGATTATAGAATGCGTTGTTTTCGAGTGTTGAAATCACAGGCGGCCCAAACTCACGTTACGAGGAAATGGAGTAAAGGAAATTACACACCGTAGGTGACGACGCGTGACCTTTGTGCTGAACGAAGCGCCGGTGTCAAGTTACAAGGGACCGTTGAAAATAAGAGAAATAAAATACTGAGATCTGCGAACGCTAAATAACGTCTTGTGAAGGGAGTAACAGTGGTTATGCAATAAAGCCAAAAAATCCAGTAAGACAACAAGCAGACACCAAAACACAGTGGAATACATCACAGACAGGTAAGTCTTTTTTACTCATTTCATTGATGGAAAATTAGGTTTAACGTTATTAAGTGTTCGCCGATCTCAGTATTTTATTTCTCGTACAAAGTCTCTTATTTTCAACGGTCGCCTACTATAACGCGACACCGTCCGTCCAGCACAGGTCACGCGTCACCTATGGTATGTATTAAATTACTTCACGCCCTTGGCCTCGTAACGTGAGTTTGGGCAGCCTGTGTTGAAATGTGAAATGTGAATTGATCTGATTTACTAAACCGAGGCCACTTGGTTCTAAACTAGGTTAAGCTGATCCAGCGCTACTGCCGATTTTCAATTCTGTTTTAAGACTTAATGATGAAGACTCCTGTAAATTCGTTCTCTCCTAAATCTTAACTCAGGGGCACCCAGCGTCAATTTTTGGAAAAATCTGTTCGGAAGACGATTTGAGATCCAGAATTTTCGGAACATTTGTCGTAAAATTGGTATAAAATTTTATAATTGCCCATTTTTAACGGATTTTTACCCTAAACACCTAGATTTTTCGGGAGCCTTTATCTGGTTACAATTTTCGAAAAGGTAAGTTTTGGTCCCTATTATTTTCGGATCACTAGACTTTCAGCTAGGAAACCGAAACAGATAAAAAATTTTTAGGGGATAAAAATTTTCCTATACCGTTTAAATACTAAAATACGTTCAACAATGCTATGTTTAAGTGGTTTTGAACTATAATCTCGTTGGTTGCCCCTGCTTAACTTAGGCTGCTTTTGTACGACTACGATTGCAACTAATTGCCAAATTCCACGTGTTATGGAGGACGTACACAGGCGACGACAATTGGAGAAGGACTCTTAATCCTCTTCAATACTAACAACCGTGCTAATTTTCTGGGCCCACTTCAGTCGAAGACCGATTAGCGCTAACCCAAGGTTAATTTTTAATCCGCGTTTCTTTTCCTTTTGTTCAAAAGCATTTAGCCTTGCTACAAGTCCACCTCATGAGTTTCTTAGCGAGCGGACCGAGCTTTATTTTAGGCCGCGAAGCGGCCAAGCGAGCGACGAAGTCACGAGAGGACAAAGGACTTTTTTGAAATTCTAAAAAGCATTTTCTGGGATAGTTTCCTCAGTTTATTCTTTTTAGAGCTTTTTATTCTTTTTTGGGTTCGCTTAACCCACCTTTCAACAACCCTGCCCTGGTTAAGGAAAAAAAATTGGGAAAATGAAACTTTCCGTTGAGTCTATTTTCTTACACTAGGCTGAATCCTTAAAGTTTCCCTAATACCATAAGACAGCCAAAATATAGTCATATGTGCATTGGCGGGTAATTAGGGCTGAGAAGTGGAAAATTACTCATTCAAAATAATAGTTTAAAGAGGTAAATATAGTTAAGGTGTTAGAGTTCCTTCTTAAAGCCATTAGCCCAGAAAAGCTTTTGCAAAACGTTATTTGGTCTTTCACCACACAGGGTGCCAGAGGTTTTTTTCCCATTGGAATCCACGAAAGCGAGTAGCCAAGCTGCGAGGAAATATAATCTCTCGCCGACCAGGCTCCGGTTGTTCAAACGATGGATTGCGCTATCCACCGGATAAATCACTATCCAGTGAATAAGTATTAGGGAAACTGATTGCGTTATCCACTAGATAGAGATTTAAGCAGTGGATAGCTTTATCCACGTTTTGAACAACTGGGCCAGCACTTTAGCACTTTGCACAAAGGAAAAATAGCGCTGCTAATTTTCCTTCTTCCCTTCCCATGAGACCCCGCGCGCGCCTTAACCTAATCCCCAATCTTCTCTCACCCCCAAAACACATAAATAACGCTGGGTACGAGTCTGAGATATAACTATGACAAAGGACGGTTTGTTTGTTTGTTTGTTTTTTAATGACCCTGAGGCACCATCGCTTAACTGACGGACAAACAAAGGAGTACCGCGACGTTAATGACTTATCAGGTCATGCAGTCATTCATTGGTCAAACCATTTACATGGTTACAATATGAAATGAGAAATGCCAAAGTATAAAGCAAGTCAAGTGCGTAACAATGTTATTTTAATTATACTGATAGCGTTACAGGTATTTCAGCCATTCTATATCTAATACGGATTTTGCAAAGCATTAAAACAATAGTTAAATATGTGATCCCTAGATTCTTATTTAAACCTCTCCGTTTATAATTTACACTACTGACAGTAATAAATACAATCGTTTACGAAAAATTCGCCTTGCACTAAAAACAACTTCGGTGAAATCCAACATAACGGTTGATCTTCAGCTATCTTCTCAGTCAGTGGCTAACTTTTAAGGCTCGTCATTCAGTTAAAACCTTAATCACTGTTAATAGCTTTACGTTAATAGCTCTATACTTCTTTGATCGCATACGCTTATTGCTGGAAATCCTACTCAGTCCAGCTCTTTTTTTCTGCGTGAAAGATTAGTCTATACTAGCCTAGTAAAAATCTTATCACGCTATAAGGGAGATTAACATTCCTGGATGATGGGCTCCTGATTAGATCTGGAGGGCCTTACTGTTACACTTTTTTTTTTTTTTTTAAAGTTAAAGCTCTTTTTATGTTTGTTATAATTCTTTCAGTATTTTCTTAGCTTAGTATCTAAGTCAATAAGTATGCATTTACTGTTTATACTCGTTCCGTCTTAAACTGTCCGATTATTGGGGATGCTCCTTCTTCTCCATATTAATCAGAACTAGCTTCAGGTGGCACGTTGTAATACGGATGATATTCATTCTGTTTGTTTACATTCAAATATGGTGCATCCCTTTCCATTATCGCCTCCAGTTTTTCGATCAAACGGTAGAAACTGGGACGAATGTAAGGGTCTTCGTTCCAACAGTCAGAAATCAGCTCATATCTGTTATGAATAGGAAAAAAATAGAACCATTCAATGCTAATTAACTAGAGCTCCAGTCAATTATTAGACCGTGTCAATATATAAGCCACTTTATAGCTTGTATGTTTTGTTTTCCCAATAGAGTTCCCAGGAGAATTTGACCCTTTGTCTACTATGCATACATATGAATTTGAATAACATGAAATTCGAAAGAAACAGTTCCTTGGAGTATTATCACATGACCTGTATTGGGAAACAAAACATATAGGCGAAAGGGGTCTATTGGAATGAAAGAAAATTTTTTAGTAGGAAAGGCCTCTTAGCTTCATGAGTTGAGACCCGGGAAGGCTCCGCCCCGAGATCCAGCCCCTTACCATTGTGTATATTATTCTTTTTTGACAGAGAACGTACCCCTTTGCTATACACTCTATTGATAAGTGGCACTGTACCCCTTTCACGTATCTAGTTCAGAGAACTTTTTATCCCTTTTAACAGCTGTAAAAGCATTTCCTTTTAAATATGAGTTAGATCACGAAAATAGAAAATTTTCTCGACTTTTTCACAGCCAAAACTTTTTCCGTAGCCCCCTTAAGTCATTTTACAGACCGAAATGACAGAGTTTCCTTTCATATACTTCGGCTAGCGAAATTTCTGTACTAGAAGACGGAGAAAGGTACTCCTTTCGGGCGGAGCCTCTCCCTACAGGCCATTATAAGGAGTACTTCCCCCGGCCCCAGGAAAGGGATTAACTTAATCACTGCTAATAGTACTTTTATTGGCCATAAAGCTTGGAGGGTTTAGAGCAAAACTTACAATGTGTTATCTGCTTTATCTGAAATGGCAAATGGTTTTGAAAATGTGGTCTAGTTTCCTTGTTAAAAAAGTGAGGATCCCAACAAATGCTCACCCTTGCCGTCCGTCTGGTCAGTATTTGATATGATCATAGAGTGCTTTAACATATTTGACGAATTCGTATGTTGCAACGTTCGCTGTGAATTGTAACTGAACAGAGGCACGGAAAACTTAAGTTGAATCTAATTGTTAATTCTAACACGACCCTGATCAAGAAACGTACACGTCATCGGAGCACATGTCAGGCCTTTCCATGCGATAACCAGTACCGAGCAGTCGATACAGCTCTGAGTTGGTCAGCGTGGGGTATGGTACGCCTCCTGACGATTACAAGAAAGAAAACAAATGATTACATATCGGCAACTGCATACATGCAATTTTTCATTAGATAGATTTCTATTTAAGATGCCCCAGTCGATTGTCACTTCTTCTCATATATACTCAATAAGGCCATTTTGCAGAAATCGGTGATTGAATGGAGGTTGGATAGCCAATGCAGTTAAATGTGTCATGAAAGAAGGCAGGGTGATTAATGATAAGGCGCTTCTCGTTTCCAGCGAACAAATGTTTGCAAAGTTAATGTATTGTCACTTATTATTCTTTCAAAACATTTCCCTGTTTCTGATTGGTTAAAACCACACGAATAATTCACCATAAACAGCTACTGTTGACCAAATTTGGTAAGAACTTTGTCATAGTGAATCAATGACGTCAAAATGACGTCAAAAGTGCAGCAAAATTGCACTATTGAACCGTTTACTGAGAAAACTTTGGGACGAGCTTGAGTTGTTTGTTAGTTAGAACAAAATGGCAGAACTGTCGCGGAACATGCATTTTACTTGTTTCATGGAGAAATATTGTCTAAAAACATCGTAAGAACAGCAAGAAGACAACTCGACAGAGTTGGAGTATATTTGTAGACCTGAGCAGACCTTCCCGATAAAGATGCATTATGGATAGTTAGTAAGCAGTCGCCGTAAAGTGGTTATCGGTTTGTGCGCAACACGTATATTGTCACCGTCGAACCTCTCTAATACGGACACCGAAGGGACAGAGCGAAGTGTCCGTAATAGAAAGGTGTCCGTATAAAAGAGGTCACAACGATGACGTCACTTTTATGACTCCACTTACAGTTTTAATTGTTCAGTAACTAAAACCAGGCTTACAGTCGACTTTAAACTGCATTTAAAGTTACTGATTCACAGTACAATGACACTGTCTTTCAGTAGCATACAACAAAGTACATCTCGGCAACAGACACATTACTGTTTTAAAACGAAACGAGCTAAAGCGCAATGCTGCATGTTAAAAGTTGTAACGTAAATTAAAGCACAATTCTGAAAGCGTCTTTTAATTTCGCTATTTTGCAAGTGTAGAAAACACTAACTAGAGTACAAAATGTAATAGGAAAGATCTTTATGCTATCTGTAGTGATTCAAGCCTTCAAAAAGTCGATTATGTTCCTCTGTACACCTTTCACAAATCGTTGTTTGGTTATGTCGCTGACCCGAAATATAGTGAAACGTATCGATATATCGTGTAGTCGGTCTGATCTGCCCTAAGTCCCTGTGCAGATTTACCTGATCGGGATTCGGCATTCGCCTGATCTCCGCAGTGTCCGTAAGTAATAAAGTCCGTAAGATTAAGTGTCCATTGTTCGTATTAGAGAGAGTCCGTATTATAGAGGTTTTCTTTTTTATATAAAATATATGAGAATTTTGTCGGGACATTGGAAACTGTCCGTAATAGAGAGGTGTCCGTACCGAGAGGTTAGACAGTATATCGACCGAGGTTAACATGTTTTAGCTCGTTTTTAAACCGGTGGAATTATTTTGAAGGAATAATAAAACAATTATTGAATTCGGCTTTCGTAGGATACGAAGAATTAAGTAGATCTCGGATGGTGTTATCCACCTCGGCCGATAACACCCTCCTACACCCTCCTCGATCTGCAGAATTCTACATATCCTACGAAAGCCGAATTCAATAATTGCTAAATATGCTTTTTAATTATCATCTAGGAGATGTCTCACAGCACTTAATCAATTAAGACAGAGCCCAGATCAGACAAAAAAATTCCAACTTGCCGCAAATGGAACATTTAAGACACCTTTTTTCGCCCCTCCTGGTGGCAGTTGCCTTGATAACAATCGTAACAGTTAAGCCACATCCCACCATGGCAAAAGCGGGAAGGTGGGTTTAGGTAATGTCGCCTTGATTACCTTGGAAGGCTGACAACTTTGAAGTGAAACAATTATCCTGTGGGTCGTGCATGAGTTTTCAACATTTTGACATCATTTCTACGGTCGAAAAGAGTCATGGACCACGAAATTTTTTTTGTTGATCTGTCATTTAACCTCAAATTTAAGATGACAAGTATAAACTGCAAAATTATACCGTCCACTCACCCAAGGTAGCCATTTCCCAAAGAACAACACCAAAAGACCAACTATGAGAAAAATCAAAGAGGTTATAAATATGTACAGATTCACGGCAGTTAGATTGTTTAGAAAACTATTGTTTATTGCCCTATTTATCTGTTGTCTCCTTGTCTTTGTCATGGACGAGCCCAAAAATGCGTGTATCTCTTGAGTTTTGGATATAATTGGAAAACTGTTAAGGACTGGAAGAATCCGTTTTTAGCAGCTATACTTTAGACACGGATGCCTTCAATACTATGATTCCATATTTGGGCAAACAATTTTCCGTGCTTCTAATTGGACGGCTAAAAACCCTAGCATGCCATTTTCTATGAACAAATAAGGGGAATTTAGGCGCTTAATCGGACTTATATGCTTCTGTAATTTTTACGGGAACTAAAATTTTGAGAAGCGATTCAGTAGAAAAGTTTCAATAGTTTCCTTCTCAAGGGAGCGGGAATCGTGAACTCACACATCACTTTTGGTGGTGTAAACGCCTTGATAAAGTGATTCTGGGGCCATCCACTTCACAGGAAGTTTTTTGGACTTCGCTGAGTTGCTCACTTCATCATAGATTTGTCTCATCAACCCAAAGTCTGACACTTTGATCTGGTTGTCATAGCCAACAAGGACATTACGGGCAGCAAGATCTCTGTGAACAAGATTGTTTTCGGCGAGATGATTCTAACAACAAATAAGCAACGAAAGAATAATTAAAATTATGTCAAAACATAATAACGGTGGTATTCCGAACACTTAGTAATTAAGTATAGACAAATGAAAAGTAAATATCGGCACTGATCTGATGCAAATATTTACGTTCAGATGCGTAAAGAAACGAATTTAGCCGAGACTGGGTCAACCGATCGACTAAGAAGATTTTTCATTTTAATGAAATAAATAACTGTACTTATATCTAGAAAAACAACCAATTTATTTATCTCATCTATTTCATGCTTATAAAATGTTGACTTTTGAATTTTTCTTTCCAAGTTATACTCAGAATCAGAATCAAATCAACATTATCCAAAAAAAAAAGATTGGTTACCATTCCTTTAGCTATCTGCCAGGCAAATAAAAACAGTTGTTCCGTAGAAAAGTTCTCCTCTTCGTTACTTAGATCCTCGTCTAGGTTTTCGATTGAAAGGGACATCGAGGAAGCTTGACTTTTTCCTGGTGATGCTGATGTGCTGGTTAGCAATTCTTTGTCGGTTACTTTGAATTGCTCAGTCTAGTTAAATTGATAAAAAAGTAACTATCAAATATTGGTTTAGCTTGAAACAGCATAACTTTCAAGTTACTTACCTTGTTAGTAAATAAGTAACCAACCGCTAGAAAGATTTTTAAAAAAAACTGACATAATTTGTTGTTGCCAGACACTAGGTATTATCTATTAAAAGTAACTTTAAAGTGACAAGTTTAGAGCGAGATAACAGGTACCCTGGCTCTATGGGTCTGTTCTCAAAATATAAAGGACGAATTAACCCTGCCCCCCACAATTTGAAAAATTTTACGTGGCCTCAGCGCACTATGTTTACGGGAAAACCTCTGGCACCTCCTGGCACACACTGGGGTTTGGTTTACAAACATCAGACACACCATCTAGACGACTCCTTATAAAAGCCATCGTTCTTGAAATGACAATCCCAAATCTGAAAATACCTCAAGAGAATATGAAAGTGGGACGTTGTGACGTAATTCAAGACAGCACAGGATAGGTACGCGAACGACGAAAAACTTCAGTGGCACAGGGAAACACAGATCAGGTTGTGTTCTTCTTACGTCAAACCTAACATAATGAGGTGCTCTGGTGGCATTTTTCTTTAGTAGTGAAAAGTCATTGTGGTGTTTTTATTTTCGTCTTACAGTAAACCTACTTCCGTGGAAGTCGATGGAATCACTTCAAGAACGGCATCTTTCTTGTTTTGTGGCGGAGAAACTGCAAAGTTTACTTGGTCCAGCTGCGCAGATTGTTCATCTTCCTTAACTTTATTCTCAACGGGGAAACTTTGCTAAACGATAAAGAAAATGGCGAAGGCATTTACAAGTAGAAAAAGTGTTACCCAGTACTGAAAATAACGCAATCATTAAATCATGGAGTCAAGGTTAGATAGACTACTGTATCTTTATTACTATTAGTGAGTCCTAAATTGCAATCGCCCGAGCCCGAATACAAATTAAACCTTTATGAAAGGTTCCACAACACCGATTCTCACTCCTGAACAACACCAATTTCAGCACTGAAGCACACGAATTTGCTCCACGGCATGGCCAGTACCTTACGCATGCGCACAACAATATCATCGGGGCAGTGGCACCATAAACAACTATTTCGCCCATGTTGGGCCTCATCAGCATGGCATTACCGTCGAGCCGATGAACGTACAAAGCCGTGTATCAAAGGTTCTTTACTACTGAGGCGAGTGAGCGTGCAAGAGCACTCCATACCGCTCAGTTGTTATGTGTGCCTCAGTGCTGAAACTGGTATTATTCTCACTCGTTAGCTTGGGGTATATGTGCTAAAACGATGAAATTCCACTGGCCCAAGAACAAGACTTTGGAGCAGAAATTTAGTGGGCAGCAAAAGATGAAATTTGTCTTTATCTCACGTTCGCAATTCGCAAACCCCAATATTCCATTCTCCAGTTAACAGTCGCTTGTAACGCGATATCTTTTCAAATAAAGGTCACGTTTAGCGTCACCCAGAGCACGAAAAGATAAAAAAGGTATAACATTATTTCCTACTTTATTAATACATGACAAAAGGCCGCCTAAGGCTTAGGCACTTCCTTCTTACTTCAGACAAACTATGAGTGGCCGGCGCCATGTCCTGTGTGACGTCACCCTGGCGTAATGAGATCATTTCCATGGTCACTTGTGCCTTCTTCGAAAGTTTACTTTCCTCTCTTTCCTGTAGGTGAAAGATATGCAAATTAATCCGCACTTCTTTTCGGCGAAAGCGTTTGTCTTGTCAAGGATAATTTAACTAAAAGTGGTAGTTTCTTGGTGTTGAGGATATAGGTGCAATCACCAAATGACGTAACGCCAAAGACTGAAAGTCACTGAGCGATACCCACAGCACCAAGCAATAGCTAACCAACACTAAGAAACACCCCTAAAGGAAGACATGTTTGTTGTGCCTAAAAGTAGGTACCCATGTGTTCTCACCTAAATTGGATTGTGCCACCTTGAGGGAAAATACTCACCAGTTTTTGAAAATCGCTCAAAATATACCTGTGGACTCATTAGGCAGACCTGTCAAGATTTATGGAATGTTGCACGCTTGGGTGCTTCGATTGATTGTATTCTGGTATAGGAGTGACCGAGAGAGATTGCTCTGGTGAAACCTTTCATCTCATCAATAGTCACAGGGCGACTACTATAACCGGGGTTACCTAGACGAAGTTGACCGATTGGATGACAGGAAAATAACAATACTTTCCGAGAAAGTTAGTTGTCAATCATAATAACCACGACAAGAAATCAACAACATGGATCGAGTTCAACCAATTATAACCTAACGACGTGACGTTTTGAACCCTAACTGAGGAGTCCGTTAGAGCGTTGAGGGAGGCAAAAAATGTAAACGTCTGGTATATTGTGTTTTATTGCAAAGAGCGGCAATGGTAGCGAAGAAATTGCTGGTAGATGACAAAATAACAACCTGTGTCAAACAAATACGTCTCCGGGTGTTATATGAAAAGTTTTGGATTGAAAAACATAGTCTGGTGAAACATTCTGCTTTCTTGATAAACGTTTGCTATCAGTATTTAAATTTAGTCCTTCGAGTAACTTATTATTTCCTTACGACCTACTGATTGGCCCACAACCAACTTTCTTGGAATGTATTGTTATTTTCCTGTAATCTGATTGGTCAACTTTGTCTAAGTGGCCCTGGTTACAGCAGTTGTACTATATAAACATACACTGAAAATTCTTTGTCAGACGGTATTGTGGACCTAATCAATGACTCGATCAGCATATGATTTCTAGAGGTTTCTCGTTGGCTTATTTCAGAGCACGGTCAATAAAGGTGTTGACTTTTTCTTTCGCGGAAAATTGTTACTTATTTCTCAGCAAATTTCCTCATTGTCTTCATGCCTTATCCACGTTCAGATAATTAAATTTAAGAAAAGTGAAATGAAATAGTCGAAATAGTCAAGTATTTCCTAGTACAAGATGGCCTTGGAAAGTCGACGCCAGCTCTTGTCGGACCTCATCATTGCTTTCTTCTGATAACAGAGTCAGTTCTGATATTTCATGCGATTGTTTGCTTTCCTGCGTGGAAAAATAAAATTGAAAATAAAAAAAATACCTTCATATATAAGTCTACTTCTGGCCGTTCTCTCTGTCGCGCAAAGCTGCAGCTGTATCATAGAGAGGTAGCTCAAGACATTTTCTCGAAAAAAAACTAAGTGCATTTTTAAGTACTTGTTTCATCTGTCTTTTTGTCTATTTTCGATGTAATTGTTAATTGTTTAACTATTGTCAGTTTTTAAGGTAACCGTTAGGTAGCAAAATGTCGTGGAATGTTGTACTCCGTTTAAGAATGCCTTAAATTTGCATTCGGCTGTATCTATAACGGGCATTTAGACCTATGATGTATTGAAGACTAAAGATAAAGAATCCCCATATAAACAAAACTGAAAGAGAAGAATTCTACAATCTAAGTAAAACATTCTAAATCTTTCATTTTTCAAAACGTCTTTGTAGTTGACTTTTTTCAAAAAGTGGTGATGCTCTGTTCCCGAAAAGTGAAATTATTAGAGACAATTCTAACATATTAAGCACAAATAAACTAGAATTAAAATATTTTAGCCCTTAACTGGCTGATTAGGTTCTTACTTCGTTGTCGAGATAACAAGAGGTCGACGCTGTGTCCCCACTGGTATCCTGTAATAACGGAGTCTTTTCCATGCTCACTTGCAATTGTGTTTTCCCCGCTTGCTTAATCTGTTCCTTAGCCACTTTGCTAACCTGAGTGAAGGGAAGCAGGAAAATGAGTCTTTCACAGACACGCCGTCAAAAAATAGAGTCCGACCATTCAATTAATGAGAGATGAAAGGAGATGAATATGCAAACATTCTTGCCAAGATTCATGTCTGAGAGGCTTCTTGTGTGACAGATATTCTCATTAACTGTGTTACCCATATTTATAGAGCTTTGCAATTGTATGGAGACACCATGTTGGCGTCCCTCTGCATGAGGAACACTAATATAGCGGCCGGAAAATAACAGAAACATATGTCACTGAGTTTTGCCATGAAGCAAGTAGACATCTCTAGAGCTCGTAAAAATTAAACTTAATACTTACTCAAATACAAGGAATGTTCGCTATAGCAAAGTCTCCAAATAAAAAGTCAGTCTTTTAACCTTAAAAGGTAAAGGCTTTCAGGACAGCGGCCATTAATGTTGCCTCATGAAATAGTTAAGAAATTCAAACTTGTTCTATCACAAAAAGAAGAACCATTTTGACCGGCAACATTGCAAAAATTATACGTCTTCAGCTGCTCTAATAGCTCGGTAAATTAAAACTCAGAAGAGGCTAAATAATTCTGTATTTTGAGTTTTGATTACGTCACGTGCAAACCACGTAGCAATAATCAGATGAGTAGGTTGGATAGGTCAACCGGACTAAAATATAATCAAACAAGCAGTCTAGAGAATAGTAGAAAGTTTTACAACAGAGCTAGTATGGAAAGTTAGAGACAATTTAATAACAAGCCTACTTGATCCCTGGTCTCTCCATGATCTCTCGGAGCCTCTTTGTCAGCATATGATCTCTGGGAGGCTTGAATTTCGATGATCTAGATTAATCAATCAAGTATATAAGTCGTATAACAATTCCTGATAGCACAACAGATTCGAAATTTTGTCTCCCTGTATTTGTTTCACAATAATTCACCTTTAAAATAAATGTAGAATTTTGTTCATCTCCTTACCGCTTTTCTTCTGCGGCGTAACCACGTCAGCAGGTCACCACAAGGAACGTATTCTATGACTAGGGACATTTTGTCCTGAATCGTGCAGCACCCAACCATGGATACAACGTTCTTATGTGAACCCAACAGTTTCATCTGCTCAATCTCAAACGTGAACTCTGCTTTCTGTGCTTTAGATGGATCATCTAAAGGCAATTGAATATACGACATTGCCTTTTTTATGTTGCAGTGACAGCATTATAAAGTGATAGATTTTGCATTTGCGAAGTTATATACTTCGTCTAATTTTTATCACACCCCACGCATGCTTTGAGGCGCAAAGTACAGATCTATTCCACAGTGCAACAGAATGTCGAGAAATATTCAGGCATTTCGTATTATACTATTCAGTTTACCACTGCATTCTCTCAGCAGCCCCGAGAGGTAGCTGCCCCCTGGAAAATTAAGGCGTTGGTATGGGTGAGATGTGACCACGTAATTTCCCTTACCCTATTTCAGTCCTGCCGCTGTTCTTAAATGACGAATGAAAAAGATGAGTAAGTAAATAAATGAATAGAAGAATAAAATAAAATGAAAACAGACTTCGTACCATGGAAAGTAAAACCTTATCCTATTTCAGTGTGTTTTTTTCTTTGACCCGAATATAATCGTGGAAATCTTTACCCAATTTCAGACCAAAAAGGGGTCAAAAACCATTGATACCCTTTGGTCCCGCTCACACGCCCAGTAGCTCTAAGAAAGCACTCATTGGTCTGGCAGCCATCATGGTGAAGCCGTAGCTTAGTTTCATAGTTCTATTGCCATTCATCCTCATTGTCCTTGCCTCAAAAGACTTGCTGTGTAAACCGAGGAACTTTGATTGCTAAAGAAGGAGGGGGCAGGGACTATATTGATTAGAGCTTGCATTATTTAAAACCAAACATATGTCTGTGTTGTGCTTCAGTTGTATCCATTGGTGAATTTCTAGTTTGTGTGTAGTAACTTAGAGGACTTTGCATGTGTTAAGAGCTAACTAGCTTAAACCTACTCTGGAGATAATTGTGTTCTTGACCTCGAAAATTTCAAACATAAAAATGGTTATCTTGATACGTTTTTTAAAATTCTTGCGACGTGCACTACATGTATTATGAAGCCAAAATAACCCCTGCCTTTCTAATCATTTCCGGATATTAAAACCGTTATTACCGTTGATCGTGATCTTTACAATCAAGAGAGGATAAAGCCCTCTCTTGATACAATATAATACAGACTGTGTCAATTCTCGGGCAATTTCGTGCTAAAAAGTTCAGTGCCTTTATGTGGTGCAATAATTAGTTTACTTAAATCCCTCAGCTTTTCTTGTTATGTGAAGAGGACTAAAGGCAGTCACAAAATTTAAGACTCCATGGCTTTGTCTGTCTTTTATGACCAATTCTTACCATGTAAGACTTTGACAGCATGGTGGACTCCACGGAAAAAACACCTATTGTTCCCGGCAAAACTTTACAGTCAGTTAAACACCTCCAACCCAACTCTCTTCCTAAATGTTGCTTTGTAAACCACGCCAAACTCTCCTCTCCCTATCTCTTCCCCGAATTCTATTTGCTCAGGCAGAATTTCCCACTTGTCAAGAGGAATGATCTCGCGTTGTGAGTAAGGTAATCTGGATAAAAGGGAAAAATAATGCTGAATTAATAGTCTGAGCACAATTGAATTACTCGAATACCGTAAACCTTACCAACAATTAAAAAAATGGTACTTATAAATATGAATCATTAAGGTTTTGGTAACTTGGTCTTTTTATCGCATAAGTATATAAATAAGTGTAGTATTTTCGTTACAGCGATCTTGCCCAAGCTCCTTTATAAGGCCTTTCGAAATCTAGCGGCCTCTTCCGGATGAAGGATACAGACTCGAGTTACAATGAAGTGGGATCAGACTCATGTCAGACTGGAAGAGAAACAACAAGCCGTCTGAAAGAGGTGCCGGGAAAGGCAAGGTCAGCTGCAAGGTCAAGCCATATATAATAACAGCCTCTGTGTCTTCTCTGGAAGATGATAATGGACATGAATAATGTGCCATAAATACTCGTTTGGGCAAGACCGCTAGCTACCGCTGTAATTAGTCTGGTTATCATTATCTTTAGTTAATATGGTGAATCTGGCACTGGTGCATCGGAGGAAGATGGCCGAAGCTACACTGTTTTCCGTGAAAATTAATTATAAAAAGCCAGCTGAGCAGCAGGATAAGGGCAATTAGGAAATGTTTTAAAAAGGACAGTCCACAGGTTAGCCCCCAAGGGAACCTGCCTTCGGTCTACAAGCAATCAGTTGTACTGATTTGTTAGACGCAATCATTTATTATTCGCATATTCTTAGAATTTTTTTTTGTCCTTGAAGAAACAAAACGTTCTTTGATTTATCTTTAATAAAAGGTAGCCTTCTTGGTGTTAACTGTGCACCAGCCGGAGTTGTAATCACGTGTTTTAATTTAATATTTCCAACAACAGCGCATTAAAATTAAAAATAATAAGGATAATTAACATACAGGCCCAAAGGCTGGGCCTGAATTTTGCTTTTCAATTTTCCCCATTGCTGAAAAGATTCCGGTGTTCCCAAATTGCGCCCTCATTGTGCGAATCCTGGCCGTTCATTGCTTTCTCGAAGGAAACTGCCGTTGCCCTTTAGTTCCTAGTGACTGCATCCTCCATCTCATCTGCTGCTTTCCCTGGCGCCTTTCTCCCTAGCTGATTGGTGCATGGTTCCCATCAGGTGATCTGAGAGGGAGCCTAATTGTTGCCATACAGACCTATGTCCTATGCGTAGGTAATACGGAGTACGCCTTCATCTCCTAAGTAGACTTAGACTACAGAGCCTTGTTCAATGAAACTCAAGCGCAAAGCAATTCCATCACCATGCCGCAATAAATATAACATAGACTAAATTACAAGGAAAATGAGTATTGCAACCGCGTTTATTTGATCCGCTTTTAGATAAAACCAACCCTACTCGGTCCAAACCCAGGCTTCGATGAGTATTCCCGAGTGTAAACTTTTGCCTCTGTCTTTGTCGTATGCCTTCAACGAAAAAAACAATTACGTACGTCGTACAAAGTATTTATCAGAGCTGCACAAACTGCACAAACCTTTCAGTAGTCTTCTTTCTTTTGTAGCACGAAGCGAAGATAGCTATGGCCAACAGCAAAAGGGCAGTCGTGACACCAAGTGATATGTAAATGATCTTATTAATGTAGGTCGAATTTCTCGAAGAAGGTTTCGTCGTTGCTAAACAGGAAATGATATAAAAGTAGTATTATAAATCAGAGGCGAATGGGACGGTTTTGCCAAAAATAACAAATTCCAATTCGATCTGAAACGCATAGACACGTTTCAACGAGTTCTTATGAACTCCTAAGTGCTCTGTGGGTAAACAAATTACAATTTTTTTTTTTTTCAATGAGGTTACTACTTATCTCACTGAAGAGGTTTAATCATACCCGATAATAGTCTTTTCTATTGTGTCGTCGAACAGCGCGGCGACGTAACTACAATGGAATAGGGGAGTTGTCCACTACGCTTGCGCGTGGTGCGCTCCCTTATCTCTGTTGATGAGATCGGGTATCATATTGTATGAGCAAAAAGTAGCTAAATTCCTTTTTGTGCAACCCAAACAGACATTCTTTGCTCCCTGAGACCGGCCCCAGGCTTTATTACTTTAAAACCGCTCATGATGCGGTAACCGGAAGTATACTAAATGAATTTATCATTTCTAAAATCTTGGCCAGTATAATTTGATTCACAAAATGAGGATATGTAACCTCATAAGTCAGTCTTTTTATAAAATACAGTCGATTCGTGACTGAATAAGCTAGTTTCCAAAAAGTAAGTCAGTTAGTCACAGTTAATGTCTTTTAACAATCAATCGGTGAGACAGTCTGTGAGAAAATCTATCCGTCAATCAGTTAATAAGCTGGTCACTCAGTCTCTCAATCAGTTGGTCATTTAATAGTCCTTTGGTTAGTCTGTCAGACTGCAACGAAAGGTTGCGCCATCTTTTCCTTGGTAAAGATCTTTATTTCGCTTCGTTTTCCAGTTATTTGTTCAGCTGATTGGAGTGCGTAGACTGGGACCGGCTTTGCAAACACAAGCTAAGCATTGTCGTTTTTTCCTTACTGCAAAGCATAATTCAGGATCAAGTAGCGGAGGTAACTTATACGAGAATGTCATCTTGTGAGTCAAAAGATAAACTGGAAAGTTTCATGCAAATATAGCAAGAAAGTATAATATCGCGAACGCGTTAGCTGAGGCGACAATGAGCACAGATTTATGAATTCCATAAAATAACTGTCACTAATTTTACTAAAAGAAAGATAAAAAAAGGAAGAGAACTGGAAATATAAAGAAGAAACAAACATTACAGGATCTGTTGGTTCTGAGTAAAAGAAAGTGGCAGAAAAGTGGTTGCCGTGGCCAAAACACAAGTGAATTTCCTCCCTAGGAGGGAAGCCTAGAGATTGAATTTTTAAAGGAGAACGCGCTCGTCATTAACAAGACACACACAAACGTCACCTAGTACCGGAATAAACTGATTTCTGAATCATAAAGGTGACCAGTTCAAGCATATTTTTAATTTCCTCTGAAATGAATGGCTGGTCATTGCAGCGCTATCACTGCATTTACACATCTCTGGTACCTTGATCATTAAAGTAAGTCTATGTGAGAGTTTCAACTGGCGGTACAGTTATTTAGCTGGTTTTATACATCCGGTTAATTAATGGCCATCATCAAATCATATACGTATCGCTTATTACTTACAATTATAAATCAGCTCAATTTTCTCAGATAGTTCACTCGACCAGCCGGTAATGTTGTTCATTGCTTTGCATTTATAAACCCCGTTGTGTCTTTCGTGGACATTGGAATTACGAAGAACAGATGTTACGGTATCCTCTCCATCGTGCTTCTCAGAGAGGGAAAAGCTTTCATATCCGTCTGTGATAAGTTTGCCATCTGGACTGTACCAAACAACAAGAGGACGAGGCCACCCCTTAAAGGAACACTTCAGTTCTATTTGTTTCTTGTTAGGAGAGAACCAGACAGGAGAACTTGTATTTTCGACCATCTTAATGCCACCTAAGAGAAACAGATTATCAGGTTACATTCATCACTTGCGACGAATTCATAGTTTCTGTACGTAGGGAACGATGGATCAGTGATAAATGCCTCAGGGCAG